GCCTGTCTAAATGTTGAGGGAAAAACACCAGTGTGAAGGGATATGTTAATGATGTGAGTGAGTGCAGGTACAACTGCAGGAGAAATGGCTTGAAGGAGATGAGATGGAATAGGATCAAGCGGACAAGTAGTAGGATGATTAGAAAGAATGAGTTTGGAGACTTCTGCCTATTCATTTGCTATAGAACATTTGTTGCAACAGCTAAGTGTGGTCTAAACTTACCTATTTGGAAAAAAACAATATCACTTTGTCTGCCTATGCTGTTGATGTGGTGGTTTTAATTAATGGACAAAATTATGTGCAGGTTTTAATGGAAGTTTTAGAAGATTTTAAAGTTTAATAATCAGCAAAAGTTAATTGGAACAAGTCAAGTGAAGCACTTTTAATCGGAAATTGGTCAAAAGAGAAACCAAGGCTTCCTGATGGTTTGAACTGAGGAAAAGGAGGTTTTAAAGGGGTCATATTTAAAGGGGATGCTACATGCACTTTTACAAGTTGTTTGAACTGAAATGTGTGTTGGCAGTGTGTGTACACAACCACCCTATAATGATAAAAATCCACCCAGTGTTTTTTTTTTTAAATCTGGTTAAATGTTTTCCCCTTTCTCAAATCGAGCCGATCTCAGATGCCTGTCTGTTTGACGTTACACAGACAGGCCCCTCCCGCGATAGTTTGATTGACAGTAGTGTTTCAGCACAGACTGGACTGGTGTCTTACCTTAGACCCGCTCTGAGTGAGCTGTCATCAGTCCACCATTGTTTCACTGCCGGAGCAGATGTAGACAAGAATGACTCCTAAGCGATTGAGGTGTTTTGTTGTTGGATGTAATAATGAACATAGCAGTCATCATTTACTCCCGACATCTGAGCCGCTGAACTCGCAGTGGATTACATTGTTTCTGAAGGGAATGCCCTCCCGATCTACATAAATGCGTCTATGTTTGCGCGAATCATTCATGATCCAGCCTCATCTACAGAAGAAGTGAGTATTATGTTACAGACTTTTCATTAAGACCCTAAAGAATCATATAAACTTGTGGAAAATGGGCATCCTATGACCCCTTTAAGTATTTAGGGGTGTATTTGGAAGATGAAATATCCATTCAGAAAAATTGAGAAGGGGTTGTTGATAAGGTAGACTTGATAAATGGAAATGGCTAATACCAAATATGTCATACAAAGGAAGAATATTAATTGTGAATAATTTAGTAACTTTCAGTCTTTGGCATAGGCTGGCCTGTTAGGATCCTCCCTCAACTTATAGCAGAAATTCAAGGTATTTTGGTCAACTTTTTTGGAATAACTTGCATTGGGTCCCTAAGAGTGTGTTGCATTTAAGAAAAAAATCTACTGATGGACAGTCATGGAAGAGTGAACACCCCCAATTCAGAAGACTGTTTTCCTTTCTTTACCTTGTTACCCATATTAGATGGTTGTACGGGACCTATTGTAGATGCTGAAAAACCCTTGTGCTTGGACTTATCTATAGTACAGCTACTGGCAAAGATTTTTATAAAATGTGTGTTAAAGTTTTTAATAAAAAGGTACTGAATGATAAAGTTGACACACCTTGGCGTAAAGTATTGGGTGTAGAAAAGAATGTGAAACCTGAATGGAGGTCGCTGTAAGACACCGTTATCTAAAAGGGCAGGTGATATACAGTGGACACTACTTCACTGTGTCATTGCGGTTAATGCTTTTATTTCAGTTCTTAATCCTGAAGTCATTGCTGATTGGCCCTTCTGCTCAAAAAGAGAAACTGTTTTTCATGCTTTTATGCAATGTGACAGACTGAAACATTTATTCTTAATTTTCAATCCTGTCAGATTACTCAGATCACAGACCATTCATCTTCTACTGGTACCCAGATCTACAGTAGACTGCAATGCAGGGGTGATAGAGCTTTTGCAGTAGACCCAAGTTATGGAATAAATTGCCATTATCTATCAAAACAGCGACTACAGTGTCTATTTGTATTATTGTGCTTTCAATGTCCTGTGAATGTCTATTTTAATTTGGGTGATGGACTTACAGTACATCATTTTGTACAGCACTTTGGTCAACCAAGGTTGTTCTAAATGTGCTTTATAAATAAATTAAACTTGAAACTTGAGCTTGAATTTTGGAAGACTTTTTTTTACCTCCCTTAACGAATTGTTTTCTATGAGAATTTGTATTCTTGGTTTTAAATTTGTTAGAGGTAATAGGTTTACATGTCAGATTTAGAACTTTGCCATTTATATGAGCAGGAAAAGTAAGGTTGAAAGATTGTCTGGTGAAGATGTGGTGGTAATGGTTTTTAAATTTGGTGAAATCATGAGTGTTGATTGATTTTTGTTTCAAAGAAGTCTTCAAAGGATCTATTAACATTTGAGATGAAATGGTGTGGTAATGGGGCATTGTGCTCAGTTGTTGAAGAGGAGTTATTTTTTACACATTTTATGTAATTTATTGTTATGTTTTTTTTATGATTTCTTTGGTGCTTACGTAATGTAACATTGGAATTGTTGAAACAAGTTAAACAGCCAAGTATTTAATGAATAAAGTTTGTTTACTTTATAGGCTTCATTGTGCATGGTCCCCCTGCTCCTCTGGTTGCTCCTCTGGGATCTTCAGTGGTTTTGCCTTGTTATGTTGATGAACTCTTACTAATGGAGGATCTGGAGGTGGAATGGAGAAGAACAGACTCAGAGACTCTGGTTCATCTGTATCAAGATGGTGAGAGTCGACCAGAGGCCCAGCAGCAGGATTATCATGATAGAGCTAATTTCTTTACTGATCAGATTCAACATGGAAACTTCTCCCTCTGTCTGGACAATCTGACAGCTGAAGATGAGGGACGATACACATGTAGAGTTTACAGTCAGCAGGATTCTGGTGAAACTGTGGTTCAGATAAAAGATGTTGGTGAGTGTGAGGCTTAAATTCTGGTGAAAATTTCAATGAAATGACATGATATATACTCTATGGAATTTAACCAATCTTATTCTTTCAGACCGTTTGCTAGTATCAAGCTCAGATGAGTCCATATCTGCATCTGTGGGTGAGGACGTCACTCTGAACTGCTCTGTAGACTCTCACATCACACCTGAACACATTGAAGAGGTTTCATGGAGGAAAACTGATAAAGATGAAGATATTCTGGTTCTGCTGTATCAAAACAATAAGTCTTTATCAGATTCATCAGATGAGCGATACAGAGACAGAGTTGAGTTCTTCACTGCTGAAATCCACAAAGGAAACATAACACATTGAAGAGGTTTCATGGAGGAAAACTGATAAAGATAAAGATATTCTGGTTCTGCTGTATCAAAACAATAAGTCTTTATCAGATTCATCAGATGAGCGATACAGAGACAGAGTTGAGTTCTTCACTGCTGAAATCCCCAAAGGAAACTTCTCTCTCAGACTGAAGAGTGTCAGAACTGAGGATAAAGGAGTTTACATGTGTTTAGTGTTTGCTGGAGGACTTTCAGCCAATGCAACTGCAGAACTGGAGAGACTGGGTGAGTAACAGATATATGATGAACCTATCATTCTATTATATTTTTTAATTAGTAGTAATATTTTTTCAATTTAATTTCCAAAGCACCTCAACAAGCATCTTACCTTACAACCCGTATAAATTAACTAAAAAGCCTATCCTTCTTTTTCCTTAAATACATTTTCACATTTGCATGAAAAATATAGATAAATCTTTAACAATAATTACTTAAGCAGAATTTAATTGTGCTTTGAGAGCAAAAGTTTGTGTTTTGAGATCAAAAGTAAAAGTAGCAGTGGCATGTTGCTGCCTAAAGTAAAGTCTAATATAAAGAAACAGTAACTGGATATTCTTCAGGTTTATCAGACAGATTATTTTGTCCCTTAAGTAGATGCATGTCATTTCCTGTGATTCACATTCATGCTCGCGATGTGAACATTTGACAAAATGTCACAAAATTAGTAGAAATGCTATTTATTAAGGGCAATATACTAGGTATGTTACACAATACTGTTCCTCTTTTTTTCAGTAACTGTTTGTGTTTCACAGGTTTCTCTGTTTCAAGCATAATGGTATTGCTTCTCTGTATTTCTGCATCTGGATCTGCTCTTCTGCTCTGCTGTCTGATCTACAGTAGGTCACCTACTAAAGGTATCTATATAACAGGAAAATATTCTTATCAGCTGTAATTCAGTGGTTATCAACTGCAGGTTTGCAACCCAAACCTATTTTGACTATTATTCAATCTAAAATAATAATAGCCAAATAATAATGAAACCTACCATAATTGTAGATAATTGTAGCATAATTTAAATGAAAAGCCTGTGCATTTAATCAAAATATGATATTTTGGCATAATTCATCTTTCACTCTGTGATGTTTTATAAAACAGTTCAGTGTTTTAGGCTGGTAAACATAGCTGGAGTTTCACTTTTATGCTTGGGGGGGCAGATGAGCCACGAACACTTTTTTTATATGTTCTACATTTCATATATTTATATAACATATATTCAACATTAAAAAATACATTAAAAAACATACATAATGCAGAAAATCTGCTTCTTTTTCCGAATTGCGTAGATGACCACTGTCTTTCTTTCACTATCTCTTCTCTTCTGATAGTTTTTCATTCAATAAAATTACTCAAATTAATATTTAATTCATTTTTATAGAATAGCAACAAACCCTTGAGTAAAATCTTTACACATGATAAATCAGTCAGTAAAACGACAATATAAGCTGCGCTAGCCTTAAAGGGTTAGGTCACCCAAAAATGAAAATTAGCCCATGGATTACTCACCCTCAAGGCATCCTAGGGTGTATATGACTTTCTTCTTTCAGACGAATCCAGTCGGAGTTATATTCAAAATTGTCTTTGATCTTTCAAGCTGTTTAATGCCATTCAGCGGGTGTTGCATTGCTTCAGTCCAAAAGTACTTAAATAAAAATCGCCCATCCATAAATAAAAGGCTCCGGGGGGTGAACAAAGGCCTTCTGTAGCGAATCGATGTGTTTTTGTAAGAAAAATATCCATATTCAAAATGAAAGATCAACTCCGACTGGATTCGTCTGAAAGAAGAAACTCATATACACCTAGGATGACTCGGGGGGTGAGTAAAACGCAACCTAATTTTCATTTTTGGGTGAATTAACCTTTAAGTTTCTGAAGAGTAATCGGCGATGCAATCTCACATTTCACAAGATCCACTTCAGCTGTCACAAGCCGAGGGTGAATCTTAAGGCTTGCGTACATGCTTAAACTGAATACTGCATCACACGCCACACTCAAGGCCATCGCTTCAAATCGCCTGTCCAATTCAGCCAGAAATGACTCAGTCCACCACATTTTTATTAGCGGGTTTATAAAAAAAACAACGAATATTTGTTAACTTGGCAAAGCGGGAAAATAACGAAAAGAGAGTCCTCTCATGTCCTCTCAAGTTGAGAATCATTCGGGACTCACGAGGATATGGGGCTTAAATAATTAATTTAGCCCAAAACGTACTTATTCTAATAATTAGCGGGTTTATAAAAAAAACAATGAATATTTGTTTACTTGCTAAAGCGGGAAAATAACGAAAAGAGAGTCCTCTCATGTCCTCTCAAGTTGAGAATCATTAGTGACTCGCAAGGATATGGGGCTTAAATAATTAATTTAACGTTAGCCCAAAACATACTTATTCTAACCACTAAAATAATAAGATAATACAAATTAAATGAGAAAATGTAAATTCATTAATTTTTATATTTTATTCACAGCTCAGACAAAATTATTATTGGCTCTCGTCTGGGGGGGCAGTACCCATTTTCAAAATTATGCGTTTTCAGGCCCCCAAAATGCCCTTGTTGTGTAAATGAAAGACCAAAACTCATTAAAATGTTTTCCATTTTTAGTTGAAAACTGTATTTTTTTTTATGTATTTTTATATGTATGTAAATGAGTATAAATCTAAAAAATTGTACTAATTCTTGGCAATGTAAAGCTTCTTTTTACTATAAGTTTGGACATGATGTAAGTCATTCCACTTGTTTAAGCTGTTTTCCCAGACTCACCAAGCTGCTCAGTTGTTACCGACCATCTCCCAGCTTAATCAGTTAATAAGATTTCAAATTTAAAACCCCTAAAACCAGTCAACATATCAGTCTAACCAGGCTGAGAGAACGGCTTAAGGCCTTTTAACACTGAACGCGAAAATTCGGTGCAATGACGCTTTTGAATCGAAACAATAGATCCCTATGGGACTATTCACACCAGGCGCAATTGTTCGCGGCATGAAAAAGCGAGGACGATTTTTTTCCCGTTGCTCCGCAATGAAACTATGGGATTACATCTCTGCCACAATTCTGCGCGCGAAAGATCATATTTTGAGCGTGTAAAAGTGCATTTTGCACGCGCGCGAACTGAGTTTTGTGGAGAAAATGTTTGTCTCGCAAAGAAGAAAGTATTTTGAGCGCACGAAAATCAATTTTGCATTTAAAATACGTTTTTTGATGTGTGCAGACCTCTTTTGCGCGTGCAACGTTTCACTAGCTTGCTCACCTGATGCCCGCCCTCAGTGCTCTCTAAATGCCAACAGCTCGCTTGCCTCAACACAACCCAGCATTACAATATGCCATAATTCCAGCCAATCAGTGACGAGGCTGCTAAATTCTGATTGGCTGCTTTGACAACCAATCACAACATTCCTTGCATTACCTCAACAGCAGAAGAGGAAAAATACAGTGCATGCATAATTATTATGCAAGTTGATATTCTGATCATATTTTTTTCCAAGCACATTTGACCAATTCCAAACGACATCAATCTTAAAAACTACTATTAATCTTGTATTTAATCATTTATAATTGATATATAATTATT